TAATAAGATAAATATCAATTAAACTAATTAAGTAATAAAAAAAAGGAGGTGTGTTGGGCCGTGTTAGGGTGTAAGATGAGAGAAAACAAAACGAGGCCCGAAAACAAGATCTGACCATACAACTAGGCGCAGGTTGTGGGCTAGGTGGGTCAAAGGGGAATGAACCGACCCATTGCAACAAAACTTAGTCTTTCTACTTTCTTGCTTCAGCCGTTCAAAACACCTCTCCTTTCTAAGTACGCGAAACTGCAATAAGAAGAAAAAAACTCATACGTTCTAATCCCTTTCCCTGTACATCATAAACCGAACGACCTCCTCATCACTCAACAAAAATATTTCTCTCATATCTCAAACGATCATTCTCGATTCGTGTCCTCAGTCTCTCTTTCGCGATCTCTGTTTCGCTCAATGCTCCTCTTTCACGACATTTTCAATTTAAAGTTGGAATTCATGGCGATGAATTTGGGGTGGTGATGTTGTTTCAATTTGTGAGTAGGTTATGTATTGTTGGTTGGTTATGTAGTTTAAGGCAAGATGGAAGTTTGGAAATTGAAGGCTATTTGATGATGGTGACAAAGCAGATTTTGGAGGAAGCAGTGAGCCTTTTCGTCGCGGTTTTTGGATGAGGTCACTGTCGTTGTATGGTTCTTTTAGAAATCACCTTTCAATCGATTTCAAACCTCCATATTCTAATGCGTCGTCGGCGAAGTTGTCATCCGAAACTTCAAAGTAACAACATAAAACTCAAGGAAATCACTCAAGAAAAAAAAGAGGGATACCATGTCACGTATCAATGAACAAGAGCAAAATATTGGGAAAAAAACAGAATCAAATTAGAAACTTCCACGATCACAACATAAAATTAGAGTTCAAAGTAGGAGTTTACCGACAACGACGGCAGGCGGAAACGAAGGTATGAAATCTAATTCGTTGGCTTTTACTTCTTTTTCCTTTCTGTTCTTCTTCACAATTATGAAAACTAATTATTGATGATGTTTGAGAGTACAAAGCTGGTTTCGAACGAATGTCATAGTGTTGCTTTTTCTTGCCACCCTTCTCTTTTACTTCCTGTTTTTTCCCTATGGTTTTATTTTTCTTCTCTTTTTAATTGAGACCAAGGCTTGTTTACTAAGTTTCTCAGCACTCCAAAAAATTTGTCTTGTGGTTGATGATTTTTAGCTCTCAAAGTACAGGTCTGCAACTGTTGGTTGTTGTCTTAACTCAAGGTTTGTTGCAAGAAATACTTTTTATGTACAAGTCCATTTGTTGAAAAATTTGAGCAAGGTGTGATGTAGTGTGATAACTGGTTTTGCGCATGAATGCACAGGCTTGGAGCATTGTGAGTGTGAAGTCCTTGTTGATGTAAGGACATGGAACAAAATCTTGGCCTTATGTGCAAGGTTGTATTATTTCCTTCTTTTTGTAAAATTTTGTGAGATAAAAATGAGTTTGGACTCCTTTGTATGAAATGGGCCTTGGTGGTAATACTTGTAACATGGGCTTACAAAAGGAAAAAAAAAAAAGGAATGGACCGTTATTATTATTATTACTTTTTTTTTTTTGCAATTTTATGAAAAATAGATAATGAAAAAAAAGAATGGACAAAATAACTATTATGAATATTTGATGGAAATTGGAAGTGAATGGATAAGATATCGATAATTAAAAAAAAGGAAAAGAAATTGGATAATTGGAATGAGTAATCGAATGGATATTGGTACAAATGGATTTTTGTGAGCTGTATAATAGCTATAAAAAACGGATATGAGCAAGGAAAGGGTTTTATAGCGCGCCTCCACACTTGAAAAACACTTAAAACCTCGGCAAATGAACTTGAATGCCAAAATCAAATAAAACTCTCCTTGAATCAAATTCTGATTAATAACGTCAAAAACCTGAATCCATCTTAACATGACCTTGAATTGGACAATAAACTTGACAACTCCTTGGATCAATGACAAGGACATAAACCACACAATTAACACTTGTAAACAACTTGAAGTGTACCAAGTGTCATGACTTCTTTAACAGCTCTGTAACTTGACTTCATCAGATGACTTAGACTTGCACAAAACTCTGGTATGATGATTTTCAGATATAAATCAGTGTTCTATGCCCAATCCTACTTGAGATCGAAACAATATCCTCTTTCCTAACCAAAGATCAAGATTACGTCCAATTGAACTGAACAAAACTACACACGTTTAAACTGACGACCTCAAGTGAACTGAATTGCATGGCACATGCCCGTCTTGAACAGAAGTGGACAAGAAACTTTAATCTTCGTGCTTTGAGTGCACACTGATGAACACCCTTTTTAACCTTCATCTCCTCTAAGGCATCCCTCCCTAAAACTCTCAGATATATCTTGGCACTCATGGTAGTTATGCCAACACTGTTCAATAAATGGCTAAAGAAGTTACCAGCAATGGGATATATAATAAGCTAGACACTCCTCTATCGTGATCGTCTTCTCCCAAAATAAAAGATAGAATAAAGAGGTTTCCTTATATCACCACTCCATGAAAATAAATATCAACGAACTATCTAACATAGTGAGCGAACAACGTGTTAGCGGCAATAGACCATCATCATCCATAGCTCTTAACCTTCTTAAGCATTAATATCCCCCATAATTTCTTCAGCTTCATCTTATAGGTAAGAGATCTTTAATACGAGGTGATCCTAAAATAATTAAATTATAAAATACCATTTGCTTTAATTAACATATAATACATAAAATCAAATTAAATTAAAAATAATTATATCACTTCTTGCCATAAACACAAGATGACATGATCATTGTATCGTGTTAGCACTACAAATCATAGGACCCTTCTCCAGAATATGTTTCTATATGATCAGACACCTCACCATGGGTCTCTCTATCAATATTCTTAGGCACCTCAGAATGTGCCTTATCCATATCACATATAGTGCATTCTCCCAACCACCTCCTCTATGATAATTAGTATGTGGTCTAAGAACCTCTTGTAAACTCGTAAAAACTACTATGCTTACCTTAATGCGACTAAGACATGCATCATTGTTAAATGTGTTGTCAATCGTAGAACTAATAGACATATCACTTGCTTTTTCGATAATAAAATTGTCTACTTCTCGTCAATCGTAGAACTAATACCTATATCACTTGCTCTTCTGACAATGAAATTATCTACTTCTAGTTTTCCTTACTTAAAAAAAAACAAAATATTAAATTTCTAATAAAAAAAATTATAGAATTTGTAGAAAAAATTCCATGTCATCACTACCTCATACCAAATTTATAACATAAGTATAAAATATGGTGCAACCCTTACCACATACCATTTTTTTTTTGGTTGCAAAATTCAGTATCACCCTCGTCTCATACCCATTTTTTCCTGCAAATGCCCCTCCCTGATTTTTCATCATATCTATTCCCACCCTCAAATATACCAGATTTTAATATAAATTTGTTCCATCTATTAACTAACCGGTTTTTTCCCAATATTCATCGCCACCTCAATCAAATACTAAAAATATACCAAAATTTAGTAGAATATATATATATATATATATATATATATATATATATATATATATATATATATATATATATATATATATATATATATATATATATATATATATATTTTAAAAAAGAAGTAAAACATCAATTTTTCCAAAAAAAAAAAATAGCAGCTTAGCTCTCCATAAACTAGAGAAAAAATTTTATCCCATTTTATAGGATAAAAAAAACCATATAAAAATTCAAAAATGTCACTTAAATTCTAAAAATACATTTTTGAACGTATCTCGTACATACATAATTTATTCATTTTTGAGCCACATCCAAATTCTATGAATAAAATTTTTTCAGAAATAAATTTCCAAAACCTATTAACGATAAAAAAAACTTGATCGATCTTAAAAAACTTGTTATTACATCACAAAAATCTCAATTTTTTAATAATAATATTTTTAAAAAAAATTTTATAATTAAATTCACTTGAATTTTTATCTATCGTGAATTTAAATGATTCATCGTTACAAAAAGTTAAAATTATAGGTGAACTATGACAACTAAATCCTCAAGAACCTATTCACTATAATCCTTGATAATTTGTGATTGAATGAATACATTGAAGTCTACTACAATATACATTTGTGAGGCACCTCTATTTCCAAAAATGCAATAAATAGGTTTCAAAAATACATTTTCGTAGACTATCAAAAATACATTTCCGAACTAAATTTATATATAGAATTCCGAACTAAATTTATATATAGAATCTAGACATGATTCAAAAATGAATAAATTATGTGTGCATGAAATATGTTCAGAGATACATTTCTAAAATCTAAGAGTAGTATTGTATTTCAGCGAAGAATCCATAAGATGCTTTAAAAAATCCCCAAATAATTAAGATATCACCAAATAGTTATGGCCCTGCCATCAATATAAGTGCTACATTAACTCCAGGTGTGTGCTAGCTAGCTGACCTCACAAGACACTTTGAGACAAATCAAAAGCACCATCAGAAGCTTTTACGTTAGAAAGGAAGTTATGCGTGTTTGGTTTCATAGAGGTTTGTTTTGCTTAAATTACACTAACTCGTCATGGTTTGTCAAACTCACCTCAAATCCAAATATGCCCCAAACACTTCATTTCATAAGTCATAACTAACAGCAATTCACATAATCTAAATAAATAATTTCAATTTCCTGGTATTTTGTGCTGTGTTGCTGTAAAAATCCTAATCCACAGGACAAAATTTTAGCATGTCGCAAACCTTGGTAGATTGTCAAACTGCACAATTTTACATAACCCTGAGAAATGAAAACTACTAAAAACAAACATCAAGTTTTAATTTAAACCCAAGTAATTCCTAGATGCTACTGTCTACAAGCAAACAAACAAACTAGGTTAACCATCCGAAAGGGCAAATAAAAATTATTAAGGTTATTCCACATCCACATATATTTGATGAATTACACAAAACCGCATGATAATATGCTTACAGAACAGTCCCACAAGCTGGTGTTGCATGAAAAGCAGACTGTCTAGAAGGTCCTTCTTCGAGTAGTTTACGAGACAGAGTCGAGGGGCCGGCATCGCCAATAGTCTCTCCTAAACTCAGTTTAGACATGCCAACGAGTTCATCGACATTGATCGGGGCCTTGGAATGTACTGCGGTTGGCTTCACCACTTCATGTGTCTCGTTCTTAGGAGCGGGCTCCGGACTGTATCCGGACCAATAGGGAAGAGGAAATGGGAAGAATGGAGAATAATATGCCGGATATACTACCGGATATGACGATGTTTGTGCATTGCTATCAGGCTTTAATAATGGGATAGAGGCAGATTCTCCGTCGTTTGAGTTTGTGGAATCCATGGATTCGCATTCTTCATCGAGCGGGGGAGGAGCAGGCAAAGGGTTGTTGCCTTCTGTTTCAGTCTGTAGCTGATTAGCTGACATGAAGTCTTGTGGTACCATTGAAGTGTCAGCTGCCTGCAAAATCAATATGAAAATACAAGAAATCCAGAAAAATGAGAAGGCTCCAAAGGAAAAGGGAAAGGGAGGAAGTTACATAATGCTTAAAAGAGAAAAAAAAACGCATTTGGATAATCTTATAAAATGGTAATGAGCAGGTTATGTGTCATCGACTCCATGAATATATGCAACATGATGTAAAGGAAACACATAATGGATGCATAAAGTATTTGCAAAAAAGGGGACAGACATCATCTTGAACAATATCGAATAAGCTGGACCGTCTTTTCCTCCTAGACACATTGCTTTGCCTGATGAAATATTTCTGAGCATGACTGGCCACTTGAGTCGGTGTCCTTGATATAACATAGTTCCTAGCAATTCCACGCCAGTCACCTTTGCCCAGCTTCTGCAATCCAAGTAAAAACATTCTATGTTCCTCCTCAGTCCATGGAGTTCCTGCAAAAAGAGATCAGAAATTAAACGTCCATTTTCCGCAATCCTCGTTGAAGCTGACTGTAATATAAACTATAAAAAAAATGCATATTCAGCTAAATCATACAGGGTCCAAAACCTAGTTAAATGAAGTAAAGGTTGTTGGGCCTCCAAAAAATGTTAACCTAATGTATGTGATTAATTATATCTTTTTTGCAGAGAACATTAGGGGAAGAAATAAGCTAGAAATATCATCATTTAAGAACGGCAAACCTATTTAGAGTTGTGTGCAGTGTGAAAATCTTAAGATATAACCATGAAAAAACATATTTTTCTTCTTTATTTTCAAAGAGCCTAGCGGCAAAACTCACACATGCTAAGAGTAGAAAAATGGGGGATTGCTGATTTGAAAATCGGCATTCCAACATATCAAATATCAATGCAATCTTTTACCATCCGAATTGTACTCAAGAGACTGAAAACTAACATATTCTACTAAAACTTGCAGATTATTAGAGGTGAAATCAAGTTAGGCAAGGTTTTGCGAAACACCTGCCACAGCCTAACATTTAATCTATCAAAGGCTTTAATCAAAAAAATATTTTTTTGTATAAAACATAAAGCCTAGTTTAGATAGCTGAAACAGTTCAATACATGCATAAATATAGAACATACCCCCATAATTTGGATACACTTCAAAACTAAACAAACAACAACCTAACAAAAACTAAACAGTGTGATTTTGAAGCACAAGAGAAACATTATTTTTTAAGCACATGACTTAAAGACTTATAAAAAAGACATAAATATCTACCCATTTCTTAGACCAACATTCAATACATTAAACATTCAAAACTTATGCAACAAACATTCCAATTATTCACACATAAAAGACAATCACTAATAAAGTTAACCCGTACCAGTACCCTTCTTGTCTAAGCTATTCCCATAGAGACACCAACCAATACAATTATTGACACCAACCAAAAAAATCAAAAATACAAATATTCTCACAAATCCAAGCTAAGATCACAAAATTGAAGAACAAAAATACGCATGCAAGCAAAATTGGGAGAAAAAAAAGTTAAAGAAACAAACCCTTTTTTCTTTCACGGGAAGTAGAAGAAGAGCCAGGAACAAAATCCTCAGAGGCGTAACCGTCAGCAACGGCGGCGTGATCAGGTGTTTCACCGGGTGAATCGAGATTATTTAACCCGGTATGAAGGGATCCAGACCCGGAACCAGTATAATGACTAAGATTACCCATACTAACACTCTTTCGGATCCCATCGGTTAATCGAACTCCGAAAAGCTTAACGCCACGGTTGGGACACGTTCTTGAGTTGTGCCCATTGTGGCTGCAATGGGAACAACGTCGCGTCATGGTTTTCTGAACCGGATCGAACGAGAACGAGGTTTATCGGGTTTTGGAGATCCGAATTACAGGATCCGGGACATGAAATTGGAGGTTTTAAGGTTGGGAATGAATTACCGAATAGGTTTTTGTTTTTGTTTTGTGTTTATTATGTTTTTGTTTGGTCTCTCTCGGGAGAGAAAGAGAAAGAGAAAGAGAAACAATGCAACACTATCCATTTATCTTGTCGTGGATAAAGAGAGGTAGGGATAAGATGCTTCGCGGGTGTTTTTTTATGATACGTGTTAGTTCTTTTCTGACCGTGGATTGGTTCGGTGCTTGCTGACGTGGTGGATGTTTTGTGATGTTATTTATTGGGTAGCTTTTGAAACTGAGTTATCATCAACTTGATCAAATAATCTCTTTTTCATACACCGTCTTTAAAATATTTACAGAGTGGCTAAATTACAATTTTTTTTTCCTTGATTTTTAATAGTATGTAAATTTTGGTTCAATGAGTAAATAAAAATATTTTTAAATTACTTAGAACGAATACCTTTTGTAATTTTTAATAGTTATTATTATTTTATCTATCAACATAAAATAGTTATAAATACAACTTACTTGTAATTTAAAGATGTTTTACGCAAAAAATTTAAAAAATTTCAATTAATTATAGTGAGTTTGGTTTATATTCTTAATCAATTGTGGATTTAGTCATTTTAGTTGTCTAAAATTTAGGGGTTAGGTGGATCTCTTTATTTTAGACAAATATATTTATTTTAATCAATATTTATTAAGAATAAAGATAATAAATTAAGGTAGGGTTTCAATAATATAAATATTATAATATATAGACGCAATCTATGCAATGCAAAGATATTTTAAAATAGGATTTGGATCCTCTCCTTTAAAATATCATATATAACATTTATATTGTTATAATAATATAACATAAAAATTAAACGTAATCTCATGATATAGTTGTGTTGAATGAAATAACACAAATAAAAATAAAAAAGTTTTAAATATCATAAAAGAAATTATATAATTTTATATAAATAAATTATTAATTAACTTTGAACACTATGTAATACTTTTTTGTAAATATATTTTTAGTTACATTTGAATCTTCATCTTCATAGGTAGTTATTAGTATCTCTAAGAATATCATTGAAGTAACTCTAGATAGTGCAATATATAGTTTTCAATGAAAAAAAATTGATTGAGTCAAATACAATCCAACATGTTTGAGTGGCTGACCTTGACTCTTATTGATAGTCATAACGAATGAAATAATCAATGAAAATTATTGACGCTGAAATTTAAAAGGAAATCTTTTTCTGAAGGAGTTAATGATAACTTTGGAATAAAATTTTCTCACCAATATTGCTACCAAATATAACTTTTTCTTCAAGCACATACATTTCCATGGTTGTAATTATTAACCGGGTGTCATTGCACAATCCTAAAGATGTGTCTATATTTCTCAACAGCATGAACGGGACACTAACGTTCAATCTTAATTTGTGATTTGGAAGTCCATGGTGTTTAGAAATTCAGGAGTGTGCACATCATCGGGCATATCACATATAATATGGCGTTACATGGAGAGTCATCACTCAAATAAAATTTTCTTCTCAATGTATTAGATCTAACATGTAGTCATTCATGGCCTGCACAATTGCATTCTTAGGAGCCAATATAGCCTTATTCTGAAAAAATTATAGATCACTCATGTTATGCCAATAGATGAAAGTGGATCACCAAACTGATCAGTGCATTATATGCACATTTTTTTTACTATTATGTTACAAAAATTCTAAAGTGTCTTTTGTTATTTCTACTATTTTAGTGTGTTTTCTTAGTTTAGGTTATTTTTACCTTTATTTTAATTTCGCATTGTATTTTCTGAATAAACAACTATTTACACCCTCTCACTGTGCGGGTAATAACTTGGGCTATGAGAATCAGATTGATGCGTTCTAATAAGCGTTGGAAAGCTCAGAGGATAAACTAAAAATTTCATGTTGAAGTCAGAAATCGAATTCGGAGTGTAGAAGACTCGAAAAATTCGTTTTAGTTTCAGATCTAGATAAAATAATTAGTTTTGGACCAGATTTGGACTGTTTTTTTTACGTTTTCCGACCCGGTTAGGATTAGAATCTGAATCCCTTATTTACTTTAACCTAAGTCAACCGCGTTACTTTTCATTCATCCTATTCACTATTCACGAAAATATTCTTTGTTTTGTACGATTCATGGAGAACTAATCCTAAAGGCAAATTCTGCTGATTACGGATTCCATCATACTTTGAGGTTATAATAATTTAATCCAATTTATATTCCTTTCAATTTTATTATGTGATTCTTGCATGCTTAATTTGATTTTCATAGAGTATATTGATTAAATTCAATTATTGTATGATCATTAACTATAATCACGTTAGCGTAACTTTTTCCTTATCGTGTTTGATTAAGTTGTGTTTGCTTAATTGGCGAGAGCTTAAATTCATTTGCTTAATTCGAATAATAGGAACTTACATCACATAATAACAATTGCACTTGTCAGCGAGTTTCGTAATCGAATAGGAACAAATAATTCGCTTAGGAGATTGGAATTATAATAATCAGTGATAAGTCGGAACCTGAATCAGTAGTTTAGCCATTTTATCTTATTCAAAATCAATTATTTGTTATTGTTTCATTAATCGAACCTAAACCCTCATTGTTCCTTCAGTTGGTAAAAATCAATCCAAAATTCCTTGCGATACGACTCTCGAGTGTCGCTTCCCTAAATTACAATTTTTATCTACTCGTTTTTTACCTATGTGCAACAACGGATCAAATTAACGCCGTTTTCGAGGATTCTTGTTGATTTTAACTAATATTAGATTCATAGATGTTCGTTCTTGCATTTTGGCCCCTCCATTCTTGTTGTTTTGGCCAATTCACGAGAACCCGTCAGACCCGGTCTGAAACCCGATTTTCAGCAAAATCGTCCCGTAACTGAAATTTTTCCGTGCCAATTTAGCAGAAAAATTAGGAGTCAAAATCCCTTACTCTTGGAAAGATTTACGAGTCACCACCCTCAAAACCCCAAATTCCTTATTTTTCTATTTTTTATGATTTTTTTCTTATGTTTTCATAGTTTCAGAAAAATCTAAAAAATTCTCAAAATTCTTATTTGACTTAATTAGATTAAATTTCGTGTTTTTGTATTTTTTGTATCTTATTTTAATCATCCTTTTTTCTTTTCAATTGTTTTTGCTAAAAAGAGACATTGTTGGTATTTTCTTATTTGTTGCTGCATTGTTGATTTAATCTTTGCTATTAGGTCTAGTTGTTCTGACTTGTTTGATTTTGATCCTGAAGTTGAAAGAACATTACAAGCACGTCGTAGAGCCAATCAAGCTAACACTAGTTCACCACCCATTAGCGATACCAATTCTGATTTTATGTTTTCTCATTCTTTATTTGATTATGATTTTGAGTTTAACATGGCTGATAAAAAGACTCTAAGAGAACTGGTTGCACCTGATGTGAATTATAATTCTTTATGTGTTGAATATCCTACTGTTGTTGTACCTTTTAAATTTAAATATGGTTTAATACACTTGTTACCAAGGTTTAATGGTCTTGCATGTGAGAATCTGCATAAGCATCTGAAGGAATTCTAGGTTGTATGTTCTACACCTTTGAGACCTGAAGGAATCATAGAGGATCACATTAAGCTGAGAGTATTCACATTCTCACTTCAAGAAGATGCAAAAGATTGGTTATATGATCTGAAAAGAGTGTTCCTAAAAATATTTTTTCGTGCCACAAGAGTTGCTCTAACCATAAAAGATATATGTGGTATTATACTACTTGACATGGAATGGTTGGACGAATACCGAGGGAGATTCAAACAATTAGTCTCCAGTTGTCCTCAACACCAGATTAACGAGCAATTACTTATTCAGTACTTCTATGAGGGATTGCTACCAATGGATAGAAACATATGAGATGTTGCTAGTGGTGGAACACTTGTTAAGAAGACTTCAGTTGCTGCTAAAGCCTTGATTGAGAACATATAACTCAACTCCCAACAGTTCACAACTAGAAACAATTATATTCAAACAAAAGGTGTGAATAAGATCCAAGTTTCTTCTTCTAACAAATCTCTAGAAACCAGACTTGACGAGCTTACATTTTTAGTGAAACAATAAAATTGTGTGGTATTTGTACTTCTTTTGAACACCCGACCAATACATGTCCTACTCTATAAGATGCGTTAGTAAGTGAGTTGCCTCAAGCATACGCAACAAACCTTTACAATCAAGGAAACAATCAGAACAAGTACAACACTCATGACCTATCCATTAACAGGTACCACCCCAACTGGAGAAATCATCCAAACCTTCGGTATGGGAATACATTCATACAATAACTTAGTCAACAACAGTTGATGTTACCACTACCACCACCATAACCTCCCCCGAAAGTAACCACCTATGCACCTTCCGGACCTTCACTAGAGGACCTTGTTAAGCAAACGGCTGTAAATAATCTTTAATTTCAGCAACGAATAGATTCTAGTATTCATACTTTACAGACATATATTGGATAACTTGCCACTTCAATCAATGTCATGCAACAAGCTCAAGGATTAAACCAACTACCTGCCCAAACAGTAGTGAATGCAAAAGACCCTAATGTGAGTGCAATTTCTTTAAGATCCAAAAACGATGTTGAACTAGCCCCAACCCCAACCCGAATACCAGAAGAAAAAAAAAACAAAGTTGTTGAGCCCAAATAGTTCTGATTCTAATGTTGTGGTTGAAACTGGAAAAAAAAACAAAAAAAAAGAAGAAGTATGTACCATCAATACCTTCCCACAGAGAGTAGTTAAGGCTAAAAAGATGGACAAGGAAGATAAGGATAAAGAGATGTTGGACATATTTAGAAAATTACTTATAAACATTCTACTTCTTGATGTGATTAAGAAAATTCTAAAATATGTCAAGTTTCTGAAGGATTTATGCACT